CGCACCGCCCGCGGGCACGGCCCGGGGCGGCATGGGGGGGCCGCGGCGCCTGCTGCTGGTCTCCAACTCCACCCTGCACGGAGGGGGGTACCTGGGCCACTGCCAGCAGCACATCAAGAGCTTCCTCGGGGAGTAAGCGCTGCGCAGGGGCTGCGGGAGCCCGCCCGGCCCCGGGCCGCCCCCGCGGCTCTAAGCGCTCTCTCCCCTCTCTTCTCCCAGGAAGGTGAAGCGGGTGCTCTTCGTTCCCTACGCCCTGCACGACCGAGACGCCTACGCCCGCACCGCGAGGGAGAAGTTTGAGAGCTTGGGTAAGGCCGGCCCGCCCCGGGCGCCGAGCGCCGCGGCCGGGCGGCGGCTGCGGAAGCGTCGCCTTTGCCGTGGGGCAGCCGTGCCGCAGGGGCTGGCCTCGCCGGGCAGCGCCCGGGCCGGCGCTGGCAAACCGCGGCTCTGAGGGGGCGTGAGGCGGCGAGCGACTCTGCGACGGTCTGCTTTCCGGGGGTCCGAGCGGGGGGAGTGCCCGGGGAGCGGCGGAGAGGGGCTTGCCTGGCTCTGCTGCACGCCGTTGAGTTGCGGCCAGCAACGGCAGCGGGAGCAGCGGGCAGCTGTTCGCCAACTTCTACCTAAAGTAGGTGCTTTAGAGGCCTCCAGAAGAAATCTTGTTACGACGCTTCTAACCACTTCAGGGAGGAAGTTTTTATTCCCGAATACTAAGGGGCATCTTTTTATTCTCCTTAGTCACGCAGGGGAACGTTTCTTCCCGTACGTCTTAAACCTCTGCTCGAGCCGTGTGACTACTGGTGTTAAGTGAGGACCGTTACTATAATGCGCTTCAACCAGCCAGATATTTCCATGATGAACAGCAACCGAGCTTTACTTGGAGCAAAGATCTTCCCAGAGCAGCCTACAGCAACACCTCCGCCTAATATCTATTACTGTTCAGGATAACTTTGGACCTGTTACTGTAGTAATAATCAGTACTTACTTCCCTGGGCAGCACACTTTGCTCCTTGTGTTGCAGAAGGACTGCTGATATCAAATGTCCATGTTCTTCTGGCTGTCGCACTTCCTGTACTCAGTGAACCCCAGCAAGGCAAATCTGTCAAAGCCAGACATTTTAACCATTACCCAAAAAAACCCCCTCGGATCAGATATTTGTACTAGTAATGCTAGCCCAATAATGGCACATCCTGTTCAGACTCAGCCAAGCTGAAGACTGACAGCTTTTTCCCATCTCTTACTTTCCAGTTAGCCGGTAATGCTCAGCGGGACTTTGTGCCTCAGCCTGCACCTGCCGAGTGAAATGCTCTGCTCTTAGACACTGAGCACGTATATCCATAAAGCAAACGTTTGCTTTGGTACAGCTGGATGCAGAAACCCTGCACTAACATAGGACATACTCTGTTTTGTGTTGTAGAGTTCTCTGAAGCTTCCCTGGTTGTCTGGTGAAACATTTCTCTCGGGGGTGGGGGGGAGGGCAGGGGGTGATGGAACATACCACATTCTTCTTCCAGACTGAAGTGGCAAAGGTAAATACTTTTTCATTTAAGGTTATGGGCTGGACAGCATTCATGAATCTTGTGATCCAGTGGAAGCTGTAAGGAAATCTGAAGCAATATTTATTGGTAAGTTTTACTTCTTGCTTCCTGATGAGGGTTTATACAGGGCACTGGATTAGTCCTGCTCAGAGCTGGCACTGTAGAGAACAATGAAAAAGTTGGGCCTAGCAATTATTAGAAACTACAGAAAACAGTACTTTAATTTGGAACAGTAAGACCCTAAATTTTCTGGTGGGGAGGGAAGTAGGAGAGATTTATTAACAGAACTTTGTCTCCAGTAAGTTTCAAATTATTCATTTGAACAGTACTTCAGTGTTAAAAACATGATCATCACAGCTGTATCATCACTTCATCAAGTCTAAGAAGATTCAGGGCTACTGTGCTCAAATTGAGCGTAGTCCTAATACCATGCTGCTGGGTATTAGAACAGCATCTGCTGTCAAACAGCCAGCGTCAGTGTTACAAGGACCTGGGGGATGAGCCTGTGGCCTGCCCAAATGACCATTCTTCTGAAGCTTCTGGTTTTACTGCTGCTCAAAGCAGGATACTACCCTGAGTAGAGCACAGAAATCATTGAGCCTGCCAAGTCTGTAAAGGCTTCAATTAAAACTGGTGGTGAAAGCACATTAAATAAGCTGGACTCTCTTTCTACAGGAGGTGGGAACACATTCCGTCTCCTGAAAGCTCTCTATGACAACAGCCTCATACAGGAGATCAGGAAAAGAGTTCTTGAGGTACAAACTACGTGACTCGGGCCAACTCTGAATAGCAGGATCTCACGCATAAGCTGTGGTTAGACAAATCCAAGTTGATTCTACATCTTTGTTTCTGATATAATTCAAATATTGAGCCATGCAACTTGGTGAACTGAAATCTGTGGCCAAATAAGGCTGTCATTAGCCATTGAAGCCTGAAAAGACCAAGGTCAGCAATCTGTCATTCTAGGACAGCGTCCCAGATGTGGGACTGCAAGACCTTGGGATGTACAGTGCTGCATAGTACCTTAGAAGTAAGCCCCTGAACTTAAAATACCAATGAAGAGCAGTGCAAGACTTAATATATGTCCAGAAATGCTGTTTTTCAGCTTGGGATGTCCACTCTGTATCTTGTTAATAGATATAGATGTGTTCAAGTTGCAGGTTGTCCGCTAATAAACCGACAACAGAACTGGATCCATACATGCCTTTTAGACAATGTCTTGTTGACATTGAAAATGGTGTAATTACCTTGGGTACCTCCTTGACCTGGAATTAAGAGGTTTGGGTGCCATTGAGCCCTTCTGGTCAGCAGCCCTATTCTGGCTGGTGAATCTCATAAGGCACAGCAAAGATAGGCCATCTATGGAGGAGAACAGAAGCAAGGTGTTCCCCTAGCAATGTGGAACTGCAGACGACTTCAAGGAGATTTATGCAAGCACAGTATATTTGAAAAGGTCAGCTACCAAGAAGAAAGGTTAGCTAGGGTGTCTTAATATACAGAAATTCAGTGCCTGTTGTGGGCAGAAAAGCCAGAAAATGTTTGAGTCCCAGTGAAGTCTAGATAACTATTTGGTTATATTAGCACCAGTTCTCCCAAGATAGCTTATTTTTACAAATTGTTCAGCATTATCCATATACTTGCATGTTTGTGTGGAATCCTTCTATCTACAGCACAGTACATAGTCCTATGTACATAGTAGTAATACCTAAACTAGTGCTAAACTGGCTGGTCACGGTACTGGTAAGCTGATGCTGTGGCAACATTGTACTCAGCTTCAGATGGTCTACTCTCTTCAGAAGCTAGTTAAAAGCTAGTTCAGATATTTCCTGTAATTGCAATGTAGGTAAGTCTCTCCTCTCTTAATAGCAAAGTCCAATATATGCACTGACAACCTTGTAAGTTCTCTCTTGTGATGGGGTTGCAGAGTTCTGAGTACAGGACATTCAACAGCTCGTTCTCTGACAACTATGACATACACAAATTACTGGCCACCTCAAAACCTGAATTCTTGTTCTGCTTTTCACCTGTACAGTTAGCAGTGAGATGAGTTAGAAGAACAAAGTCTAATCTGACTGCAGTCTCTGAGATTGATAGAAGATGCTATAAAATGCAGTTCCTAGTTGTGATACTGTATACTAATCATTGCTTTTGTCTTTCAGGATGGGATTCCTTATGTGGGGTCCAGCGCAGGAACTAATGTTGCTACCATCAGCATCAATACTACCAATGACATGCCAATTGTTTATCCACCTTCCCTGCAGGCCCTAGGTTTAGTTCCTTTTAATATTAACCCCCACTACTTGGACCCAGATGTTAAAAGCACTCACATGGGTGTAAGTAAAGCATGTCAGAGCTAACACAGTAATCGGGGTGTGGAGGTGTAACGATAGCGTGCATTTGTGAGGCCTTACAAAGCTATAAAATGTCTAACAGCTGCTCCCTAGAGCAATTGGAAATGCCAGTGAAGCAGTAACATTTTACTCCCTCCTAAAGCTTTTCTTTGAGTGGGAAGAGGAGTTGGCAACAGTATTACTGAGGTGGAATGAAGTGTTTCTCACAAACAGAAGCTTTGCAATGTCTGAAATACTGTTGCTTCATACCTGGCATGGAATTGAGGGTGGGGCGTGAAGATAAACTTGAAATGTTAAGATGCAATGTGCTGTGTTTCTGGAAAGTCCTGCCATAGTCTGTCTTGCCTGCTGCTTGAGAAGACCTAACTTAAACATACATTAAGAGGCTTAAATATCTAAAGGTCTGAAGGAACCATCAGAAGAGGGAGATCTTGGGATTGTATGCAATCTTATGTAAGAAAATACCTAGGCACTCGTGTCCTTGCAGAGAGCACACCCTGTAATGTCCAATACTGAGCAAGCACATGTCCTGGTATAGCTGAAAGAAAAACACTTTTAACTATCCGGCACAAAGACTGACAACTCCACTGCATGGAGGAGCTGATTCTTGAATAGCCTGTTGGGAGCCAGTTCCTCAGGGAACAGTTTCTGTGGTGCATCTTTTTAACAGCCCAAATCCTTTCCTCCTTGTAGTGAAAATTTCTTCATGGTTAGAGGAAATATTAAGAATTAGGGAACGATGAAGAGATGGAGGATCAGTGTGTGCTTCTAGAATTTAGATTAAGTTGTAGGTACTCATTTAATCAGCTTGTCACTAGAGAATCAAGTAGTCTTCCCTATAAGTAACTTTTGCTATTTCTCTGAGAGGAAGCTGGAAGCTCTGTGCCATACCAAGTCCCTGCTGTATTCCTGTGTTTCCTTACCAACAAATCCTTCTGGTTTGATTTCTTTAATTACTGTTGCTCAGTTCAGCAGCAAACCCTCAGGAAACATGGCAGAGCTGTTCACAGAAGGAAATTCTTCAGTGTAATACCTACTTTAGGACAAACAAGCAGATATTTAATCAGCAGAAATCCATAGTTCACTACCCTCTTTCATGAAGGCGGCATCTCAGGCATTTGCTTCCACCACCTTCCTCAGTGCTCTTGTTCTGAGGGTGAGCACATAGAGATAGCCTTAAAAAAAAAAAAAAAAAGAAAAAAAAGACGACCTAGATGAATTGAGTGGAAGTAAGTTTTAAGGCTTTTCAGGGTTGGGATTGTGTGAGTTCTGTTTTATCAACCTGCAGCAATTGCTGCTAGTGATGAAGGGTAAAATATGTATCCGTTAAAGTCAACTGCCACTCTATTCTGCTTGAAGGAAAGTGCCTGCTTTGTTTAATGTTATGAAATAGCTCAGTGTAATGCTACATGGATAGCTCCAAGTCCTCTCTTACTGCCTGGGCAGCTAAATCTACACTTATTATTGCAGGAGACAAGAGAGGAAAGAATTCGCCAATATCATGAAGAACCAAACACGCCTCCAGTTCTGGTGAGTAGTAGTTCCCAGTCAGGAAGCTCATGGCTGTAGCATGGGAAACATTTTAAATGCATTCTTGCTGGCTTTCAGTGTGCATTCCCCTGTGTCCTGGTTTCAGCTGGGATAGAGTTAATTTTCTTCTTACTAGCTGGTACACTGTGTTTTGGATTTAGTGTGAGAATAATGTTGATAACACACTGATGGTTTAGTTGTTGCTAACTGGCGCTTATCCTAAGTTAAGGATTTTTCAGTTCCCCATGTTCTGCCAGCAAGCAGGTGTACAAGAAGCTGGGAGGGACCATAGCTAGGACAGCTGTCCCAAACTAGCCACAGGGATATTCCATACCATAGAATATCATGCTCAGTATATAAACTGTGGGAGTTGGCTGGGAGGGGTGGATCACTGCTCAGGCATCGGTCAGCAGGTGGCAGGCAACTGCATTGTGCATCACTTGTCTTTTCTTGGTTTTTTAAAAATGTTATTTTATTATATTCCTTTTTATTGCAATTATTTTTCTTATATTTTATTAGTAGTAGTAGTATTACATTTTATTTTACTTTAGTTATTAAACTGTTCTTATCTCAACCCACGAGTTTTACTTTTTTTCCGATTCTCCTCCCCATCCCCACTGGGGTGGAAGAAGGAGTGAGCAAGTAGCTGGGTGGTGCCTAGTTGCTGGCTGGGCTTAAACCTCAACACCCTGCCTGACAAGCATTACAGAACAGTGGCATGTAAGGCTAGTTATATTCTTTCTAAGGGCTTCAAAGTTGGATTTTGCTCACTTGCAGAAAATGGGTTAGAACACATGAAATGCATTCTGCCTATTAGATGCTTGGAGTCCTGTTGCCAAACACTGTATTTTAGGCAGCTCTGATCTTTCCAGTCACTGGCCACCAGTCATATGTTATATGTTGGGGGTGGTGTGCATGCAGATGGTAAGATATCTCCCCTTAAACTTTTTGCAGATATTCTTAACTTCACATGTTGTTTTACTCTCTGGGTTTCTGAATTTGCTCATTCAGTAGTATGTTCATAATTACAGTATGTCTCTCTGGGGAAGTGGGACCTCTGGGTTTCCTGTCCCTGTGCTTGAGCTTGGAGTATAAAGTTTGTGCTTTAACAAACCCAGCTGGCTGTTACTTGGCCCAGACTGGATTGAAGAATGGTGGTAGCAGAATTAAGTGTGGAAAAAACACTTTCCTTTTCTCCTTAATAGTTTCTCCCTTAAAACTGAAAAATAAAATAAACAAGAAAACTAGCTTCTAAAACAAGGTAACTCACCTAATTTTGTCTTGGTATCTTTGTTAGAAATAGGTGAGCAATAATGTATTGTCTGTAGTCGTGGTGAGCTGCACTAAGACTGGCCTGCTTGTGATAAGCATTCTAACCTTTCAAATAGCTTGAAAATAACATTAAATGTTTCCACCTACATTAGGGCTTGCGGGAAGGTACGATGCTGCTAGTGGAAGGAGACAAAGCCACCTTGCAAGGAGTGACAGGAGCACGTCTGTTTTTGAGGTAAATGCTTTATTTGAATTGATATCCTCCTTCAGACAGAAAGGGAGAGAGACTTCTATTAGACTCCTGGCACGTGTTAACCTGGCCCCCAACATCTGAAGTTACTTAATCCCTTGCTTCCATTTCTCTTTGGGGAAAACATGAGTATTGCTTTATGCTCCAAAGGAGCAGGCAGTATTACAGCACTCTAAAGGATGTCTAACTTACCCCGTAAGTGCTATGGTATTACATCCATTGATGCTTATGTTTCCGAACTATAGTTACTGTTCACGGAAAGAGCCCCAATAGTCAGCCCTGTTATTGAAGGCCAGGGGAATACCAGTTTAGCCCTAATGCGTTGAACCCTAGAACAAGGGAACTCATGTCTTCAGTATATGAACTTTACTAAGAAATCTAATATGGATGTCCTGTGATGCAGGCAAGGGAGTCAAAACTCTGCTTGTTATGAATAAGGATGCCTTGTTCTAACCCTAGTAACAGACAGAAGCACAGTAGTCTTAGGTCCTGTTAAAGCTCACGGCATGGTTTGTCTTGTTTATAGGGATAAGAAACCAACTGAACATGAGCCTGGAACAGATTTCAGTTTCCTCCTGACTGACAATAATCTCCAGAATCTGTAGCCTTGCATACTCTGCAGCAAAAGTTACTACATGAGAAGACAATGAGGAGAAAGGAAAGAGATGCTTCTAGCCCCGGGTGTGCGTGTGTGTGTGTGTGAAGAACTTATGCTTTATAAATAAAGATAAACATGCACTGGTGGGTTCTTTTCCCAACCCTAATTCACATCTCAGACATCTCTCCTTCCCAGCAAAAAGACAATTTTTGCTCAAGTATTGCAATAATCATAGCTACTCTTAGTCTGAAAAGGTCTGTACATTCATGTATCCACTTTGATTCCTTCCCCACCAAAAATAAGTTACTGTAACACAATTAAGACAGGACACTGAGGCAGCTGTTTCTGCTGCCTAGCTGCACCTGCTAAATGAAAGAATTGTTTAGTGTACTTCCACACTATTAGTTTAATTTTTGCGCTATTAATAAAGTGAGAATTTATGCATTCAATTACTTTTATTTGCTTCAGACTCATGTCAAATTTATACAATGCTAATTATGTACAAAAGTGTGCATGTTAAAAATTCTCAGGTTACAAACTTGCAAATCCTAGAAAAGTGCAAAATTTTAAAACATCTTCTACCATGCTGTACAGAAAAAAAAAAATCCATCATTAGCCAATATACACACTCTTAAAACATACTGATCAAAACAAAGTAAGACATACAGTATACTCTTAAAGCACCCAGAAGGGAAGAAGATATTGCACAGAAGACTAACAGCAAGTTCATTACAGTGCCTGAAGGCTCATTTTTGAAAGTAGGTATTTCCAACACTCCTTAGACCTAACATTTAACTCTTTTAAGAAAAGGCATTTTTTGGCATTTAGAAATCCATTTGTAATCACATAATTGCACAATCTGTAAGAATTATCAGAAAATATGGTTAACTGTTGCTGTAAGGCCTTTGTTACCACTCCCTCATTAGCTTCAGTAAAAATGCATCAAGCAAACTGAGTAGCATCACAGCTTCCATCAAAACACTGACCAAAGGGAGGTAAGTCTTAAAAGCAGCATTTCTCTGATCTTATATTAAGCTGCTCCTGCATAGTGAATGGTTGACTCAGAACATGTATTGCAAGTTTTCCTTGATTTTTTTTTTTTCCTCATGGCTTTCTTTAAGCAACAGCTCACAGCTATGTATGACTAAAGCAGTACTGTCAGGTGCAAGACTAAGTTTATTTTAAAAAGTTACTTCAAGGCAAAAAAATATGGCTCCCTCAAGAGGAAAACACTAACTAGATAGGAAGCTAAATAAACAAGTAGCCTCTAAGTTCAGTTAGATTTATGATATATATATGGCTGGATGTTTTATATTTCAATCTCAAAACACCTTAGCAGCTTTAAACCATAATCTATACTGACAATCATGGTTCTGGGACAGAAGGCATGTTATGAAATTGTGCCTGTGCCAAGTATAATCACAGACCTAAGCTCTGGAAACACTTGCCAGATTTCCCAAGTCCCGTAGCTGAAAATAGAAAGAACACACAACTGGAGGAACTCTCCTGAAGAAAACACCAATTTTATCTGGGCTGTTTGGGTAAATGGTAACTAAAAGAAAGACAACCCGTTTTCTTTCACAGATGCACAGCAAAATGTGAACAGAAACAGAACAAAGGGTACCTTTGATTAAACACTACAAGCAGTTCCTCACATATGGGGTGTTCAAGACTGCAGTAAGATGAATAGCACTTGACTCAAACTGTGCAGAGCATGCTATGCTGCCACTCAGAGGCATTTCTGCATCCAGGCATCTGATAACTATAATAGTGAAGAAAGGGACAATAGTATTTTACCTTTTTTAAAAAAAAAAACAACCCAAAACAAACCTGCAGTACCTTTTCAGAAAATCTTTGCCTCCTTTAAAAGTATGTACTAACAAGGGCAATTAGTATTAATAAGGAAAATTTGGCTCCTTAGGATGGAAGGAAGGACATCTTCCAAACAATTCAGTTGAGTCTAACATTGGTATACAATGAACACACATGCATATGACTGCACAAAAACTATTACTCTCCCCAAAAGGAGACTACTAATGAGTGTCATGTTTACAGCTGAAACCAACATAGCTTTTAAACCAAAAAGCATGAAAAGCCCATTCTAGAAAGCACTGAAGCACATGCTTGAATTTCCACCCAATTAAATATAACCCTATGTAGTGCTTTCATCTAACAGTATTTATTACATCAGGCCTTAGGTTCACATCAGGATACGCCATTTATGTGTGTTTGGGGTTTTTTTGTTTGTTTGGGGTAGGGGGTTTTTTTTGGTTTTGGTTTTTTAATTCTTTGAAAGGAAAAAAAAAATATTCATAGCACCTAGCCTCAGCATCTAATCTAGCCAGCAAGATGCCTTTAACAGTGGAAGAGAGGAGTGCCTTCAAGTGACAATACAGAGCAAGAGTCTACAGACTGTCAGTGTAGGAGTGAAGGAGGCTGACAGCTCCTCTACTCCCCTCCCTAGCTCTAAAGCTCCCTACCATACCATGATCTGTACATAGATACACATTTTCAACTAAATACACATACATGGTAAAAGCTTTGTGAAACATTTGGTTGCTGTACATATATTTTCTAATGATTTTGTTTATTAAGATTAGGAAAGACTTGCAGAGGAAAACAGGGAGGAGGGAGCCATGGTCTAGGGAAGTGAGGTATACAGCTTCCACTGACTAAGGCAAGAGTTAAAAGACCTACCTAATTATTGTGCATTAGAAATAAAAATAAATTTATCATTCCTGCAGGACTATCTTAAAGCAGACTGATGTAAGACTGCTACCGGTCCCATACAGAACTTTTACAGTGCAGAAACTTAGTTCTTCGCACTTCATTTAAAGGACACAGAAATACAACTTTGAAGAGGATTCTTATAAAGCAGCCAATTGACTACACTATTTAAAGCCTGTAAAGACTTTGATAAACCTGTTTTGTGATAATATTCATGATCTAAGGTATACTGGAGGGAAAAAACTTGTTTATATCAGTGTTGCAGATGAGCAAAACAATTGTAACGCGTGTGTGTGGACATTACTGTTGGTTTTTTTTTCTTTTTTCTTTTTAAATCAAACAGGCTTCCTAAAGCCTAATTTCCACAATGTGTATTAACCATAAGGAGAAGTGCAGTTAGTTTAAGATTGGGATTAATCTTTTGTGCTGGTGTTGGTAAGGTACATGGATGACAGAAGACGTGGTTTCTAAGTATCCTATGAATGAGTATTAGATAACAAGTAGATTGATATAGAATAGTTCACATAAGTCAGATGCTAACTTGAACAGCAAACATTTCACTTTCTGAATGCTCATATAGTACAAAAACTGCACAGACTACATGAGATTCTTCACTATAGATAAAAAGACAACTAAAAATACTATCAAGAATTATAAGTAAATTGATAAAGAGAAATTTAATAAACATTTTACTTGAAATAAAGGAGTCTAAATATCATATCCTTTGGTATGCAAGTTCAAAACTGTGCTACAGAGAAGTTACTCAATACTGCTAACTACTTGATCTCATTTATATACAGGTATGAAAAGAGAGTCAGTTTTCAGTTTCTTTTAGATATACATATTTACGCTCCTACTTACTTACTCGGCTTCAAAGGTAAGCATATCTTAAACTGCGATAAATATCATTAGGGTTGTTCCAAAAATTAAATGTAAGAAGATACCACCAAGAAGGTCTTGACAAATTTAGTGTTGTGAAACAACTGTCGCTTAAGACTTGTTTACTCTGAATTCCTAATCAGAATTATCTCATCTCACAGCTTTTCTTTTTACACTTAAATAAATCTTAGTTCAAAACCAAAGGAGACTCTTACTTCACCAATATGTATTGTTTTACATGAAAAACAAATATGATCCTCAGCTTTATTGACTTGAGGAAATCAAAGAATTATGAAAGGCAGTTCACTAATTCAGTGCGCTGCATAACAGACTGCAATTCAACCAACCTGAACAGCTGATCAGAAAAATTATTTTCTACTTTAAAAAGACTTAAGTTAAAACCAAAAGACACAAAATACCAGCTAATACTCACACTTACCACCTTTATCTTTTATCCAAAGCTGGTTTTAGATAAAGGCAAAGTTCAGACCTTCAAACCTACGGGGGTCTTTCCAGAGGGCCTCTGGCAAGAACACTAGGTATGTGATGGTGTATACCTCCCATCCTCCAGGACCAGGTAAAAGATCAAAAGGCAACAGATGTTGCCATTCTGCATAGAGCATGAAGCAGCTCAGAGCTCACCTGTCCCCCTCATCATTCTGCTCCTGCTTTGTGCTGAGCACAAACTAGCCTCAAGTTTGAGAGCCAAGAACTGTCCACATTTAAACCTGTCCCAGATATTTGTGAGGATCATCTAATGCTTGTGATGCACTGAAATGATGGCATTCAAATGTCAAAGCTCATTGCCATAAACTTTCACCCCCAATTATTGCAACTACATTATATTTTACTTAAACTGACACAGTGTATTCAGTATTCTTTAATATTAAACTACTAAAAACATTAATTCAATTGTTGTAGAAACACACCTAACCCATAGCAGGACGTTTTCAAACCCTTATGTAAATACCTCCATGTAAGTGACAGAAAGAAAACTATGCTCTCACCAAACACTACAAAAGACCCATCTCAATTTTTCCACTTGATTCTGCTAGCCCAAAACATCGTAACTTCCTGCCCTCTTCCCCTGCAAGTAAACACTTAACCTCATATATGCATTTAAACAGAACATATATGCATACTTATAAAAAAAAAACCATCAACTCAATGCCCCAAATGAGTTCTTTTTTCAACTTCCCATAACACAGAAAAATCTCACATTCTGAGCTGAAATTCTTCTGAACTACTCTCGAAAGAGCTCCCCTGAAATCCCTTCTTCATGAAATCATAATGGACAAACATACTTCACATTCTCATATAAACACTTAATACTTCCAGAGTATCCTTAGTATTTTTACTGGATAGGTAATTGATTAAAAATAGTATTTTTCACTTCTCTATAGCTTATTTGAAAATATGGGATATGGTTTTTTTGCATACATGGAGTCTGAAAAAAACCACACCACTATACTTTCAGAAATTTAATGCTCTCTTGGCAAGTTACTCAGGGAAGTAATTCTTATTTTCTCCTAACTTTCCAGACAATCCAGTCTGTCACAGTGATTAGTTAGAATATTGCAACTATGCATAGACCCACTTGTTCACTAGTCTGATTTATTATTTCATTTACAAAAGTTAAGAAAAAGCAACGCAACTTTCTTTACACAGCACACTAATCAGTCATTGTGAGGGATTTTTTTTCTTCCAGTAAAGAAATTGAGGAGGAGAAAACAGTTTTAATGAGACTAACAGAACTTGTAAAGATTATCCTTTTGTGGGCTAAGGAGGTATTACTATTTCTACAAAGTTAATAAATATTGTGCTAAAAATTAATGAAATGAGATTATACACTACGGAGTTCCTCAGGTAGTTCAACAGCTCCCCAGCCACAGGAAATATCTGATAACATTTATAGGAGATACAACACACATTCATTTCCATAAATAAATAAAAATAACAAGAAAAGTGATGGTAGAGGGAAGAAAGGGGTAGCCAAAAGGGAACATACTAGCTAACAATCACTTATAGCTCTGCCTTATATCTATACTCCCCTTTCCCCATGGTATTTTCTCCTTTAATAGACATACATACATGTATATACATATATATACACAAACATACACACATATATACACATGCACACATATTTTTGCACACCAGTCCAAAAACTCATACTTTTCCCTCAGCACCAAGCTTTTCTAACAGGATGGGGTTTATCATTTAAATCATTAACATTATAAAAACACACCCTTCTATTATCACATATCACTAAACCAAAAAAATTCAGTAATGGCTTCTCCAAAATATAGCATACAATCCATAACTATTTTGTTGGATATAGTGCACGTAAGGATCTGATATTTTCTTTTCCCAGGTTTTAAAGACATCTTGAAAATGGATACATTATCTGTTTCCCTGCTTGTTTTTACGGAAGAAACACATATGGCTAACAACTGGTTTGGTGAACACCAAGCCAAGAAACAAACAGGTGCTATTTAATTAAACTGTGCTGCAATGTTGTTTAAATGATTTTGCAGTGGAAATTTATCTTTTTTGTCATAGGAGTTGCCTTACTAATGAAGCAGATTGATCTTTGACCAATATAGATACTGATTCTTCCTCTGTATTTCTTCAAGATACTAAATATATTATGGGATTTCTTGGTGTGAGTCTTAGTCTACTTAACAATATAAATAATTTTCAGCAGCAAGTATCTCCTACCTCCTTCAGCTCCATTGAAGTTATTCATGTCTGTACTTTAAACAATTTCTGATAATCAAGTAGTGCAACACAGATGTTCCTTGCAGAACAGCCTAAAACTGGAACTACACAAAAGAAGATAGCAATAGCCATTTACAGGAGTAAATTGCAATAAATTGTTCATTGGGCTAAAAAACACATTGAAAAGGTCATAACTGTCAGCTATCCCAATTTTTAATGTGACTACTGCAACTGCCAAAATTTTAATGTACTGTTGGGGAATTACAATGCTGTCAAATCAAAGCCAAATAACTTCTTTGTAATCAAGGAGCATCTGGCCCTATTCAGCTTTAAATCAAATGCTACTTATCTTAAATTCAATTAGCGAGCTTGGGTTTGGAGGTTTGGGGGGGGGGGGTTGGGGGTTGTTTTTTTTTTTTTTTTTTTTTTCTGAAAGACAGTTTTAGCAGCTATTTAGAGAGGGATTCTGCTGTGATGAAGTCAACACAGTTAAGGAAAAATATGCAAGCAAGCTAACTTGCATGAGTACATATGCTTGTTACTATACCTCTACCATAGGTTCATCTTCAACAGACTTAAGAATCAAGTCCCTGAAAGTTGAGATATACATTTAAAGTGACCAAAAGATTAAACATGTTTCTGGAATCCATGAGAGAAGGTAGAAGCAGCAATCACTTGGAATCTTGAGTGTTATATTCAGTCTCTCCTGATGAAATCTGGCTGAGCCGTTTGCTTGATCCCCACAGCTTTCGGGAAAGCTGACCTGAGCGCATCTGTTTAAAAGTAATTCAGAGAAACAAAAGGAGGGGGAAGGGATAAGGTGGATAAATTAAAAAGGAATTCAGACACTGATTCTGGTGAAATGCAGACACTACAATGTACTGCATAAACAGAAGTTACACCAACAAAAATTATTTGAAAACAAACCAAAAAGTTACACTTAGGGATGATTCTTGGGACTGACAAAAAACAACAGACAAAACACTAATCACAGTCTTCTCTGATTTTGAACAGTTAAAGGAATACTGCCAAGTAATGCATACTTAATACTTAACCTACTTCAAATAGCTTAGAAACAGTGTTTAAATTGCTATTCTGATAGGAAGGAAAAAAAAAAAAAAAAAAAAAAGGGGAAAGTCAAACAAAAAAAAACCAAATTAGAAGAAAGGACATTTTAGAGATTTCAAACAGAAATTGCTAGAAGTGAAAAGGAAAAGATAACCAAAATGCAGGGCAGTGATAGCAGAATGAAGGAAAGAGAGAAAGGTTATCTCCTGGTGTCAAATTTATGCAGTCTTCCAAAGATCCTGGGTGAAGTGCTCAGAATAAAATTTAAACCAGAAAAAATTCATACTGAATATTCTGCAAGTAAAGACAGATAACAAGCAACCAGAGGCCATATTAAATCCAGCATCTGGTAGGTCTGTAATCTGACAATTTGTAAGAAACTGTTTTAATTTACTCCTTAAGTACAAGGCTCTATGATTGGCCAGTAGCGATCAGCTTGGCAGCTGATTAGGTTATGAAATCCCTTGCTGTTTAATAAACAAGATGCATGCCTTAACAGCACAAATTTGAGAACAGTTCCCAGCAGTTAGTACTACAAATTAAGCATGCTTAAGAACTGTACCATCACAGCAGCAGTGTTTTCTAGAAAAGGCACAGTGCTGACAGGGATTAACACTAACAGGTGACAATCCCCCAGACTTCTGCAACATCCCAAACAGCTTATTGTTAAAAATACAAAAACATTTATTATACTTCACTTCATACTGGATACTGTCAATGCAGAAACACTAAAGGCCAATCTTAATACCAAGCAGCATTTCACTTTATGCACAATAAAGAAGGTCAGTTTCTCCCTTTATCCTAAGGATCAGTATCACCACTGAAAGCCAGAACTACAACACTGTCTTCTGTATAAAATTCTAGTAATTAATATATTCCTTCCAAACTACAAATAAATCAATCAACAAGTAAATACCCCACATGAACATGCTTTTCAAATATACTGATTGATACCATATAGAAAACTAGAAAATCTGGGACATAATGTTGCTTCTTATATGTTTGTGTTTTTTAAAAAAAAATCTATTTACATGGATATTAAGCTTGCAGATCACCTGAATTATGAACAGAAAACCCTGAAAAAAAAGTCATTGGAAAGCCTCTACATTCATAAAAGGGATCCAGTCTTTGAAACAACACTTTCTCCATCGTTAGAAAAATAGATGTGATTAAGAACTGAAAAAAAAGAGAACAAAAAGCCTTCAGTCTAATGATACACATAAATTTCAGCCTACAAAAGATCTTTTCTATGGAACAGGAAGCTTAGAAATGACAGTGACTTTAAAATTGCTGTTACAAATATATGTTTAACCACATCGTAAGCAGCTCTACAGTAGGAAAAAGCTGTCCAACTGGAAGTCAGTGGAAACCTCCCCTCCCCATCAGCTGCAAGCAAAATCAGACTACCATTGTGTGAAGCCTGTTTCAAATACTAAACTATGTATCTCCTAGCTAAAACATTTTAAAATACTGGCAAATAAAGTCACTCTGTTTTCACAATTAAAATATAAAATTAAGACACACTTTTCTGGCATGTACTAAAGGTCATGCAGAAGTGATAATCACATTTTCAAATAAATATACTGCAGCACAACAGAGATCGGGTTATAGAGAGAAGCAGGTTTAAGCTAACTCAAGTACTTTGAAAGTCATGACAAGATGTACTTAAAGCAAAACCTGTTTTGCACAAGAAAAACTGGGCATAGCTATTTGACAGATGGATGCTCTGTATTTGATATTGCATATGCAGTACCAACAAGTTTATATTCACCATATGGAGCACAGAGCATATTGGGAACCTACACAAGTGATTCTTTGTGCACTGCAATTAGAGAATCTTAACAGAAAGAAGTAATGTATTTTTTCCCCAATGTCAGTCAATGCATATTAAAAAGTATCTGACAGAAACCATAAAAAAAAAGGTAGCTTGCTCTCTTTCGTTTCCGATTTTCTTCTGGAAAATGATTTCGTCAAGAAGTGGCTGACAACACTATCACGTTCAGAAAAGGTTAGCTACTATGACTGTGCTTATTCAGATGTGAGTGATAAAGTCTGGAAGTTAGTCCAGCTGAGCTTCCCATCTGCGATCCCTATATACTTTTTATTCTTAATGAGAAATTTCAGTAGAGCCGTCTCAAGAGTTATTTCTTTCCCACTGAAAACTGAAACTTGCTCTTAAATTTACCCTGCCATAGAGGAGACCTCTTGCTCAAGTGGAAAGCAGAAATAAGTGAACTTCCCACTGTTCGGTAGAAAAAGTTCTTGATGGTAGGTTTTACCTCTGCTGGCTTGCCAACACCAACGATAATCAACTTGCCGTCCTCCAAGCCAACAAGGATGTGGCTATACTCTTTGGTGACAGAAATGCAATGAATTGGCAGTCGCATGGCTAAGGGGGAGATGCTCAGACTCAGGCTGAAATGAATAAAAACCACAGAGAGAAAGCACATCATGTATTTGTCTGCACACACTGCAAAGAATCACACTGCAGTTGAAATCGCTGTCCACAGGAGGCACTATAAAACACAGTTTCTCAAGGATCCAGTTTGCAATTTCAATTATTGTGAACTCCTAAGGAACAATCTAATTGTAACCCAGAATAGAGATCCAATAACAAGATAAGGCATGGATGGTTAAGTCAGTAAATTAAGACATTTTCACTGAAGAACAGTAACATTAGTCTCACAACTGCCTAAGTGACAGAGATCACTCCCATTCTGAGGAGCAATGGAGCTCTACAGAACATAGCAGTAAGTGAAGTTTAAAACTCAGTGCAGAACTACATGAGGCTTGATCTTGCAGTTGCTGAGCTTGTCACTGCTCAGTCACTGCTGAGCCAATGACTAATCAGACATGGGAACAACCACAGCTTGCAGATGTCAGACACAGCTCTTTCTAAATTCTATCAGTTCTAGGTGTATAATTGGGATAAATGCCTGGGGAAAAAGGGGTCTGGTACAACCTCTCATTTTTCTTTTCTCCCTGTCTTAGTTCCCCCTAAAATAGTTTCTTCAGGAACACAGAAAAAAAGCAATGGCTACCACTTAAAGCACCAAGCAAAGTCCACATTACACAGCCACTTCTCAATAAGCCTTTATATTTGCATCTCAATAATAAACTATTGATGGTGGTACATTACCTGTAAAGATCCCGTATGGAAAGAAATCCCTGTAAGCTGCCCATCACGATATACTCGCCAGTCACACATATATCTGACACTTCCTCCTTCAGAGTCTCAGAACACAGGTATTTTCCATTGACAGAATAGAGATGTAATGCATTCTTATCCTGAATAGATCAAAAATAAAACTGTCATAGAGGACTGACTGGATTAAGAGTGTATTATTTGTATCTTTAGCTCACTAACAGGAGCTAACTTGGGCAATAACCCACAGATAATATTGCTGACAACAGTTGCCTTGTTGAATGACACAAGAGTACCGAGTCTATATGCAATGTGTATGTATACCAGGTCCTGTATGGAAATTTTTGAAGTTATTCCTTGTTACTTCTTGATAACATGGTAACATCTTACCTACCCATCTAATCAATTCCAAATTTTCTGGAAACATCCATGGATTTAATGGACAAGTCCCTATTTTATAAGGGTTTTTGATAAGGAAAAAGAAAGAAAGAGAGCACTCTTACCGTCAGCCCTGCTGCCATCCTCCTGCCCACCCCCAATTGAAAAGCAGAAGGAAACAAGTATATTTCCACAGAGCTAGATCTAGAAGCATTTTCTGCACAAGGCAATGAATTTTTGATCGATTAAAGACACAGCTAACATGACCACCTTAAGTTCTTCCAGCTTGACAATATCTTGGTCTCTTCTCTCCCCATCTTCCCAATGCAGCTAGCATGCCTACATCCAATAAATTTGTCTTCCAAGAAATTTCCCATGCTCATAGAAAACATAACAGCTCTACCCTTATTAAAGCATCTACACAGCTACTCAAGAGACAGAATAAGCTACACTGTGAACCTTATAGCTATCTCTCCAATCCAAAACTAAGGAACATCAGTGTAGTCACTAGGCATCTTGCACCCAGAACTTACTGCTCCCCTTATAAGCCTCTGCTTCTGCGCACAGTGGAACTTGTTTTCCCTAGTCTTCTATTTCAAAGCAGCTCCTCCAGGAAGATTCAATAGTGCATGCTTGGGCATCTTCCCTGCAGGTGTCTGGACATTTTCATGAAACTTACAGGAGCACAGTATATCTGTGATTTATCTTTTAATCAAATTTCATTCAAATTGGCTAGCAAAATGTAAAAAAATAAGGAAACAGACACAGCATGCTCAAAAAGCCTCATTACTTTAGGAAATAAGGTTAAAGTTAGATACATTTATGATTAAAGTCTTCAGCAAAAGAAACAGAGGTATTCCATGAACCTAAGTACCTTAAGAGTAGTCTTTCCTTCTATGCTGGTGTGGACAACTATATGGCCTTCCCAGGACACAGCCAAATTTGGAACAGTCAGGAGGAGGGAACTCTCACAAGGTGGTCGCAAAGTCCTCACGTACTGACCTTTCCGAATAGTGCGGACAATAACGGTCCCATCCTGCAGTGACCAAATTTAGGTAAGTTGTTACTCAGCAGGTAAGTTACCGCAACACACAGAAAGAATATTTAAATACAGAGGGAGTATTTTAAAGCACTTAAATCCTTAACTGGAGATCAAGACTCCTGAGCATTAGAAACTCTACACGAAGCCTTCCCCTCAAGGCCATACACTATAGGCATATGAAAAAACAAATGCAAACAGGGCACAAGGGGATGGATAGGCAGCAAATCAGCCATTTCATAGGTCACATTTATGAGTAGGCATTATGTGCAGTACAGAGTCAGAGTTCAGCAGCCTGCCAGTGTAGTATAGTAAGGTAGAGCATGAGTAAGCCGCACAGAACCTTCAAGGTTAAGGAAGCAGGGAAGAAACTGTCACAGAACTGTTTCTATGAGAAGCTTAAGATCCCCACATAAGTCCACACATGTTAAAGCTCATCTGTGCAGAATAACACAACATGGTAGCCGAGGCCTATGCTGTGCAGAGCAGTTTGAGACAGCCTGATTTAAGCAGGCAACAGGGAGGTGGCACATATCCTCTTGATGCTCAAGGCTGAAGAAAAAAAATCGTGAAATAGTCACATTTTTTGTATTATTCTTAATCAACTTCAAACATGCTCTATGGTTTGAGTAGAGAAGAGGCAAAGAAGGGAAAAGTATGAGGATGCTTACCTTGGATCCTGACACTGCCATATCCAGTTCAGTGCTGATGCTAACACTCGAAACTTCATCAGTATGCCCATAAAGGATCTGTAACGGCTTAGGTGCCAGGCCTACAGGCACTCCTCCCTGAGAGTAACAAAAAGTGCAATGACACATTCTCTTGCAGCTGAAGGACAAACAAAAAATAAATTTCTGGTATCTTCAGTATCAGTTGTGCAAGATGTATATTTGACATAGGCCAAAACCAAAGGCATAACTCACCCATTCCAATTTCAATTTATTGCCTTTTATGTCAGCAGCCCTATTTACTGAAATCACAAGAATGAATGAATATACAGTTACAATGTGGATGTGAAAGACAGAGTTACTTAGTTGACTTGTTTCTGTTCCTTCAAATGTCCAGGTGTGCAAGGACCACAGTCAACAGTCCTAACAGGAGCTGTTCACCCACCCATCCACCCACTTTTTCTTCACCTGTGTATCTGGGCTTGTTCAGTTCTTACAGTTTACCCTAGAATTAAGCACTATCTTCACAGCCAAGCTTAAAGAAGCTGAAAGCTATTTTGTTTAATATTACAGCAACTCTTCCATTTTCTAAGAAAAAGTAAGGAAATAATCCTTCTCAGTAACTACCAGTAGTATCATATGCAAAGGAAAACTTGCAATAATGCTCATTAAAAATAGTAATTTTCCCACATGACTACAGGGTGTCAAAACTGTTCAGTACTTTTGTTCCAGCGAGTGTACTGTCAGCATATACAGACTTATTTTCAAACCAGTTCTAAGGTAAGACCTGTGCTTAGAGAGAAGGTACAGTAAAGAGTTCTGCAGAGAACTCTCTTCTCATTTCTGTGATAGAAATTTGACTGCCAACCAAGCCCTGAAAGCCTGAAGCGTGCAGGAATGCAGAACCAAGTGTCAAAATGCAGAGCTGGGAAAGAAGGTGACAATGCAGAGCAGACAAGTAGAATGGAAGTGACAGTATGCAGTCCATTGCTGGCACTTTGTAAAGACCAAGATAAAACTCTCACAAGAAGAATTTACCATACATACAATATCATTTAGGTATCCATTAAATAAAAAAAATTCATTAAAAATCTTAAGAAAAAGCAATTAGAAACAAAGATAATCTCCAGAGGATGACTTATTTAACTCACACTGAAAAGATAAATACACTAAAAAATTTCCAACATTTATCATTGCTTGAGACAAAAAAAATACTGCTGTGAGCACTAAGGTCTCACCTTTTTGACCACACACCGTTGGTACAACGTACTTCTTGAAAGAATTGTAAATACTCTCACCATAAAAACAGCTTCCCCAAAAACACATGCAGTTATGCACCACTTCACTGGTTTAATGTGCTGACTTTAGTTTAATGATAAGAAGGTGACCTGACCAAATGTACTGTCCATAACATGACAGCTCCCCCCTGCAGTTAATCCTACTCATATATCTGTAACGCAGCAATCTGAAATGAACATTTTAAATGCATAACAATGGAAATGGCCTCACAAATTGAGTGCAAGTACACACATGCATCACACAACCACTTTCATTGTGTGAAAGCACAAGACCAATATTAAAAAATTCTAAAACACCAGCGTAAATCCAGGTAACAGACTAGTGTTGTCTTTGCTAACTCCTAGTGCAGTCATCAGTGCTTCCCACAGAGGAAACACAATGTTATAATGCAACTACTGGAGTGAACAGCAGCCTAGAAATGTAAAAATCCTCAACTATAAACATTGTTCTAATTCCGGTAGTCTCAAGCAGTGTCTCTCTTCTTCTGCTCTTCCATCTATACAATGGGGGATAATATTTGCCTATCCTGAAAGTAATCTATGAAATCTTTAAGATTGCCTCTGAAATACTGTGTGGTTCAGCTATATAGTAACCAATGTATATAGTGAATATTTCAAACACAGAAGACAACGGGAGTAACAAAATTACTAAGCTAATCAATTTTAGTGGACTATCTTCCCTACAAATCTGAAAGAAAGGAAATCAATAAACCATCATAGCAAAACACGGAAGCACAAAAAAGCATTCAGCAACTGCTTTTCAGAGTATGCCTAAATAACCTACCTGCTGAACTATTTGCCATATCATACACGTAGTATCTCTGGAGCCTGAAATCAAATGAATTCCACAGTAGTCCATTGCCAAGCAGGTCACAATATCTAGATAAAGGAAAGAAACCAGGAAGTTATCACATAGATATTGAAGACTAATTTCCCACAGAGTGACAACGTGCACGCAATATGTCAACAATGTATCCTGATTTGCAGTCAGCATGAAATGTTCCACTGTGATAAGGGCTGATGAGACTGTATTAAACAATGAAGTCATTGTACAGCCAGGTGTACCAACCTGACTTAATCAGCTTTGCTACCTAAAAACAGCAGTCAAGCCTTATTTTGAAACTACATTAAACCATCACTAGAATGACTAAAAAGCCATGCTCAAGTATTTACATAAAATCACAGTTCAAGTATTCTTCTGTTCTTACACTGCCATTCCTTTATAACTGCTATGCTTGTCTGCCCAAGTGCACTGGCTATAATTCTTTCCAAAAAGACCAAACATCAAGGAACACTACATAAAACCTTTCATTTCACAATATAAAGAGTTACTAACCCATGTGCCTGATGTGCTGTCCAATCAGCTTGCCTTTTGTAAGAGATGTCACTCTGATGCTATTGTCCCAGTGTCCTCCACTAAATAGCAGTTTTGCATCATGGGATACTGCAAACAACTTAGAGGTGATCTCCAGCCCTGGTGCAAAAGGACCACTCATGTTGCGTTGTGTTCTGTAGGCAAATGATGAGCAGGTAAGAGTAATCTTAGTCCAAAGCAATGTATTTTGCGCTTCCTATATCCTTCAAAATTAATAAGAAATTCCATCTGTAGAAGAGGCTATATCTAAAAAAAATAATAGGTGAAATTCTGGCCCCCTGATATCCATGACAAAACTCCCACTGCCATCAGCAAGTGGAAGGAAGATTTCACCTTAGAACTTTTCAGTCTTTTATGCAATTTGATTCTGTATGGACAACTTATGTCCCTACTAAGTATTGTAACGTTAAAGAAAAAAAGGAATCTTCTGAAAACCAAAGAAACAAAACCACCATGTACATCTGCACTATAGTGTAAGGAAGTATGAAGACTGCCCATCTCAGATTCCAAGTTAAGTTTTTATGATTGATAATTAGAAAAAATTAGACATAGCTCTAAGAATGAAGAACCTTGAAATGCCACTTAGGTAACTCTTTACTAGACATCAGAAGATGCATTCTTAGGTGAAAACTCGGCCAATGGAAACAGTACAACCCACTGATTGTTGAACAATTACTGTATTTTATTACTGTAGATACATTCATCTGCACCTCTCCTCATCATTTGCTTACTTGGGATTTGTCACTGTGGTATCTCTGATGAATGTAAAATAGTTGGAGATATTTTTATCATAAGGTAGCCAACCATGAGTTCCAATAATGCAGTTCAGACTTGCCGTTACCTAAAAAAGTTTGATAGGAAAAATAAATAAATTAAAAAAAAAGAATCAGTGAAACCCAGAGATATATTTTCTGCTTGCCTTTGATGATAATGGAGGTTGCATAAAATCCAGCATAGGCTTCTTTAGAATTTACCACAAAAAAAAAAGCACACACGCCCCCCCCCCCCCAAATTAAAAAAAAAAAAAAAAATCAGCTCAGATGAGTTAATCCACATGTAGTACATATTACCAAGTTAGAACAGTGTATGTTCTAGATAGGTCAGAGAAGTTGAATGGGGGGAGTATGGGGAGGAGACAAAAAACAAAAAAACCCACCCAACCAACCCCTCAAACCTTTAATTACAATTCAGTCATTTAGTTTAAGCTGCTGCTTCTCTTCGTTGAAATAGTAATCATTAATAGTTAACATATTAACACAGGAAGTTTTTTAAAAAGGTACTAGTTCTATTTCTGAGAAAGTAAGACAGGAATCTAAATATTCAAGGTTATTTTCGTCACATATTTAGAAAAAACACAATGAGAATTTTAGATGTGTCCAAATTCCAAATGACATATGCACGTACCACATCAAGCCAGGACAGTAAGTTTGACCTTAGGAACATTGGAAAAGAATATTCTGTCCTGCAAAATGTAAGTGTTATTGCACAGGGGCCAGTATGCAGACCATACATACAGATGTAAATACAAAACCACTTCCTCCTTTCATCATTTGGCCATCTGCCATAGTACTAGCACCTGTATTAGTGCAAAAGTTAATTTTAGAAACAGTGCAGGCCTTTGGAGTGTGTATATGCCACATATGGTATAGTTTAATATATGGGTTGGATAATAATGACAAACATGATGCCATTAATAACTCAATCCTGTCATTTTAAAGCTAGGCTGCATTGCATTAGGAAATTGACTGCTGCCATGGAAGTGGATCAAGTGGGCAACTTACAATACACCTCACTACAACTTATGCTCACATCTCATCAGCTCTTACATGCCATTCAACAAATTAGCCTTGCTTCCCTACAGAAGACAAATATTTAACTTATAGCTAACATTCATTGTAAGTTAAAGGAACACATTTGAACAAGAAGTTAAGAAGTGTTTCTCTAGAAGCTGTATGAAAAAAAAAAAAAAATACACCTATTTGACTGTCTGCAGTCTAAGAACATTATTGACACATGCAACTCACCAAGATCTCTGGGCTTCCCTGAGAAATAAAGGAACGTGACTGATTCCTGGGGACAACAGCTTTCACGATGGGCACACCGTCACTGATTCCCTAAGAGAAAGGACATGATTTGGGTCTGATTATATCCAAGAGCTACAGGACAAATCTAGAAACTGTAAAGAGTAAGACCCAAAGCCTCTGGAATCAATGTCAAACCTGTACAGTACTCTAAGGCACTGGTACACACATACTCGGTTCACACAGGTATGCTCTGTTACAAAGACCATAAATGAAACCCTGACTCTGTCCTGAATCAGTGAGTTTAGCTACCAAGTTCAGTGAGTTCTCAGATACCACCAGTGATGTTCTTAGCTTTCTTGGTGTGGTAGATAACTTAATACTCAAACAAGACCCACACAAGTGGCCAGCAGATACAAATTTATGGGATTCAACCTCTACAAAGCTAACTAAAAAGACAGAGCTCATTTTATACACATTGCATTTTAAAATATTTTCTTTAAATAGGAAGCGAGTTTATTTTCATCTAGGTTGTGACCTTCTGTTACAAGTAAATGAGCAGTTTCAGATTAGACTTTAAACAATTTCAAGTAACATATCTACCTCTATGAAGAATGACTTCAGTTCAGTGAGGTGTTGGAAGAGATTCAGAGTAGAGGTATCACTTTTAGTTAGTCTTTGCACTACCTCTTCTGCTGACAGCCTTTGTGGATGGGGCTCCTAGGAGACAATATTGGAGGGAACATCAAATTGGATTAATTTATCAACTCAGAATTTTATTGGCAGTCAATGGGAAAACAGACTCTTAAGCACCTAATTTCCCTTCTTAAAGTAAACTTACTTTGAAAATGGTTTGCTAATTTTCCACCAGTGTGACCTTTACAAAGGGTAAAGTGGCAAAGACTTAACATTCCTAAAATTACAAACCATTATCTTTTCATTTTTTCTGAAGTCCTTTGTAATGCAGTTGGATTTAACCACAAAGGTCTGATTGAGATGGAACAAAAAACATTACCTTTAACAGTTGACAGGGAGTTTGTCCAAAATTGTTTATCATCCCTTCTAAAGCTTTCCTCTCTTTCTCATCTGTTAAAGCATCCAAATCCACAGCCCCTGGATCACAATGATGAAGGGTAGAAAAAATGGAAAAAGAACATAATCCAAACAACTCATTGAGAACTGATACAGTCAACAAATGTTGCAAAATTGAAATTAATTGCAGCATTATCACCCTCTACCCCAGAAAAACCTCCAAACAATGTCTCCATGTAAAATACGATCTGAAAACACCACTCTGCACGTGGAATTCTAAGTGTATCTGTAAGTGCAAGAATTGCAGGCTTTTGTCTTATCAAATGAATTTAATATACATCACACATGCAATAAGTTGTACATGAAAACCACCCAAAATTCACCTTTGGAATTAACAGACTAACATTTGTCTTCAATACTTGTTGTTTTCAAGCAACTTGCCTTGACTCCTAAACCACAAGAAACCTCTTTCCACAAATGCTTTTAAGCAAGCAAATGAGAAACAAAAACCCCCAAGCACTTTTAGAAACAAAATACAAGCAACTGGAAGAGAACCCCCTTTAAAAAAAACTTTATTAACATTTCGGGTTCACAACTTCTAATCAAAGCATCAAATATTCTGGTTATTTGACGATAAATTATAAGTTATGGTGCCATATTTCATCTATAATTCTGTTGCCTTACCATATGCCACTGTATGGCACGCTCACAAATCAAGTGTTTTCTGTCTAATACTGAAAATCTGCAAGTCCAATGACAATGACAAGAGAGCATACTGCTTTGTACCTTCATAAGTACAATAATAGAACACATTGAGCGCCTCCACTGCAGCTGGTCCCCTCTGCTTGTAGCCAAAAATCAAATCTATCCATTCATGAAGATGAGCAGAAACATACTCAGATTCCTAGAAGGAAAAAATGTTCTTGTAAGAATAAGAAAAGTACTGCTCCCTTCTTGAAGTATTTACTATTTTCTGTGAAAGAGATTTAAATCCTAAACTAAGAGTATCTACAAACTAGGTATATACCAATGTATAGGGCAGAAGCCTAAGAATATCCATGTGCGTCAAGGGCAGTAACTGTCAGGTAAGAGGGAAAATTAATACAGCGAAGCAGCACACCTAGACTATTGAAATGCAACTGTGCAAGGGAAGGTAAGCTGCTAGTTCCCTAGTACCATACAGAATAATCTATAAAAAGCAAGGAAAGCCTTATCACCTAAACTCACCTAATTCTGCATTTTATCTCTTAGGGCAGCAAACTCCCAAATGATTGGTATCTTCAGGCTCTTTTCTTTTTTCTTTTGAGCATTTTATCTACATGCACAGTGGTTTTAACTGAAAGTTCTAAAGGTACTTGTATGTCGAATGCAACCACAACTCTAGTTTGAATGTAGTCCCAGTATTTTGCACTTAAGCCACAGTGACAATGTGTAGATGTACTTTCTTTACCATTACTTCACACATATAAACATCATCTTACCAGAGCCCTCCTGTGTTTATAAATGAAGTCTTCTGGGGAGTGGGCCCATTTGGGGAGAACAACATCATTTACCACCTCTTTGGATATTTGAAGCTGACCTAAGTTAAAACCTAGTGAAAAATTTGGAGAATTTCAAGAGTTACTACAAAATATTTCAAATATCTTCATGTCTTAATAAAGATTAAAACGTGTTCTTTTCTCAGTGCAAGGAAAGGATATTGAAAAATTCTTAATTTAAATCTCCAATAACCGTACCACTGACAGGAGGTTAAGTTCTGCTCTGGATGTTTAAAATGTTAAATGATACAGGATAACAATTGTCCAAAGCACCTAAATGACTTCGAAGCTGAATTCCCAACCTTAAAAGTAGCATTATCATTTGCACACCTATCTGTAAACATATCTGCATTTGTTTGGTTTGTTTTTTTTTTTACCAGGATAAAGAGTCCAAAACATTTCAATGAGGTTATTCATAACAACAAAGTTACCTATAGGTTTAAATTATTATAGAATCAGGGCTTTCAAGAAGTCTTAAATCCCACTAGCTTTCATTAGAACAACTCTAAACACGTAAATGACTTTTGAAAGCATGACTTGGCTGTTTCCAGTTTTTATAACTTAGAATTCCAGTAGATTGTAGCTAGCAGACTAAATTAGCAGTAAACACACAAATCCATTTTTAAATTGTCTAATAGGTAGAGAAACAATTCTCTATGCAGTATATGTGAATTAAAAAATGGCTAGGAGTCTCATATCAGAATGCAGGATGTTGTCTTTTCAATCAGCATTACATAGGAGTAAAACAGCTTTTTTTTTTTTTTCCCCTTCTGATACATACTGAAACCTTATATGGCTCTAAAATCACCTGACTTAGCACTGCATTGGAAGGTAACAGTAACAAGCAGAAAATAGGCTGGTTGCCTAGAACAAATAGACCTCGCATGTTTGAAGATGTCCAAACTCTATCATCCAATGAACCCAGTTAAAAGAATACTAACTAATCTGTAGCAACTTTTGCTAACTATTTAATCAGTATTAACTATTGCTAACTTTTTCAAACTTTCAAATGAGCATCTCTGATATTTTGCATTAGGTAAACAACGCTATTTTAAGCCATCCTTAAGCCCCCAATCTGAATTTTAAACAACGTTTAGGCTGCTGCTTAACACAACCGGTGTCTTCATTAAACAGTTTGAAGCCAGCATGATGATTAAATTAACTTCTACAAGCACACAATAAGGCTTAAATAAGAAGTATTCCACAACATCCACAAATGGTTGTAACAATTCTTTTCTGAACAATAGAAGAACAGTTTTCTATGAGAATATTCTGAGCAGTCAGTTCACCATTTTGATTCTCCAGGAACTCTGGGAAGTAGAAGAACTCTGGAATAAGTTCCTTGACATCATTGGGGTTGTCCATGAGTGCCTGCCAGGTAGCAGGAATAGAGTGGAACTGCCTGTCAGCACAGTCGAATCTGTGGATCAGAAAACTCAGGTTAGACTTTGATCATTCCCTCAATAAAATGATAAGGAAGAAAAATAAAGTGCTGCTTATTTGCTTACTGCATACCTGCCACTTTGAAGTTGGATATGAAGTGTTGTGAAAGGTTCTACCCGAATGAGATAATGCATGACACCAGCAGCATTTGAGTAATGTGTCCCATAGTGAAATTTGTCAATTATCCCAAGGGGATCCTCGAAATTCTCATATCTAAAAAAAATAAATCTTTATAAATACAACTGAGCACTACAGCTGATTCACATGTGGATTATATTTATTGGAGGCAAGAATTCAAAAGAAACGATCACAGCAACCTGTAAGAGAAAAATACATTGAGTTCTATTGAATATGAGGATTCCATATCACTAAGCTGAATATTTATTATTGAAGGGACTTGTGACAGCTTCCTGCAAGATTTAAAAAAAAAAAAAAAAAAAAAAGAGCATGTGTGTGACTATGTCAGGATGCAGAAAAGAGATTTATTTAACACTCATGCCCATTTCCTTTTCTACTGGCAAACTCACTCTACAGTACTATACCACCATCTGGCTGATATATTCCTCAGTGTCACAAGGCCAGTAAGAGAAATTATAGTTAAGCACACTGCTAGAGAACCAATTTCATTATAGTCAGGGATAGAGCCTAATCCTTCAAAGAAAATTCTCCATGTTCCAATTTTTCAGAAGAAAGCTGGTTTTGGAAGATGCTTGATGAGTGTAATCTGGTATGACAGCACACTCCCCACATCAGCAAAAAAGGAAGGATCGCTACACCGATGCGTGGGTGTAAGTACTTGTCATTCCTACCTACAGAGGAGTTGCTAGAAGTCACTGAGTTATATTTTATTTCAAAGATAATAAATGATGCTTGAAAAAAAGAGCAAGAAGCATAGATTTAGGATCAATGCTACCTCTCAGCACAGGCAGCTCAACTGATCAGTATGATTTCACACTCCTTATCTGGAAGCAGACATGGGACACAGTATGTCTCTTCAAGCTGCTGGGCCATTAAATTAAGTGTTTCTACAGGCTTTCAGTTTTTTATCTCCACATCTGAGAAACAATTGAAAATTTACAACAGTAAGTTTTGTCCTTTCAGTGCCATATAAGCCAACTAATCTGAATGCAGCAGGAACAATAAATCAACAACCTTGATTTGATGTAAATGCGTCTGTGATGTTATAAAACTAGCTTTTAAAAATTTCACTGTCACAACTTCATTTTTAAAATGTGTTATTTAGCCTGGTGGCTCAGAAAAGACAGAGAAATATAACTGAGTGTTAAAATACATACTTTTCTTTCACAGCCTTAGCATTCTTTTCATTTACTACCCCTATGGGTTTGGACAGATCCCTAAAGACTGCAGGATTATTCAGGTCCAGTTCTTCTGAAGTATAATCTCGTAAAATCCAGGGGAACTAAAAAAAGAAAAAAAAAAAGTCAAATGGAGATAAAAAAATCCATCTTTCAAAATAGAAAAAATACATACCTTTGGCAAAAATTTTAAAATTAATTTTTTAAATTACCACAGGATATTGCGCAAGGTCATTGTAAGTTCGTCCTGCCATCGTGTTCAGCTGAATAAGGTAGTCAAAGTTGGATATTTCTCTGTTCACCCATTTCTGAAGGACAGAAAAAAAAGATACAGTGGAAGTCACTATATCAGAGATACCACTATTGCTAATTACATGTCTTGTCAGTATTTATCTGCCAGAGAATAGTAATGGCAAGTGGAAGAGTATAAGAATGGTATGAAAGTCCAAACTGAATATCTCCTAATGAAGTTTATTTTCCATTTGACTCAGTGACTGCGCTACCTATGTTTCATTGAAATCATGTCCCTGATTGATGCCAGTACCATTTTAAATACAGGGCAGCAGACAACTAGCAGCCTCAGAATAAAAAAGGAGAAGAAAAACAGAAACGAAAGAAACAAAAGGTGGCAGGTAAACAGGTACTGAGAAAAATGGGAACAGAACTTTGAAAGCCACTAGAGTTCTAAGGTCAAAATTTATTTATAAATTGTTCTCCCATTGGTTAACGGTACAGGTATTTGTAAACTAACATAGTCCTTGTGCCTTTGCTCCACTATTATATTTTAAAACAAAGACAGACAGAGCTGTGTTCAGAAGGGCTCAGTATCTGTCTGTAGTGTGACAGAGACATTTTATTACAGACAATATTTTCTCTACGTAAATATACAACATGATAGCTTTTATCATTACGGAAACAAAGAAAAAACAATGTACTTCTGGTATTTTAAAAGTCATTTGTAAAGCTTCCTCCCTCAGAGAAAACAATAATTGTGGCATAAAAAGATGGAAGATAAAAACATGTTTACTACATTTAAAATTTATCCATGTTTACGGTAATACAGGCATTTTGACATTTTCCTTTTATACCAATATTACTAATTCCCTTAAGACCATATTTCCTGCTTAATCTTCACATGGGCTTTGTTGAAAGCCCCATCATGAAAAGATAGCAGGGAAAGTTATTTGCACATGTAGTAAAAGAAGTTCTAAAATGTGCATTCAAGATCATGGACTAAAAACAGAAGCAAGTCTGCTACATGTTTTCCATTCTTGTTGGAACACTTGTCATAATCACATCAACAGAGCCTGGCTCTATCCATTTACCTCACTGACTGTAAACACAAAACACAGCAATTCTAAAAATATGCATGTGAAAGTTCAGGGGCCAGACTGAGGGTACAGAATTTGGCAGTTTTCATCTAAACACTGGGGGGAAAAAAAAGTAAAAGCAGTAGTCCAGGACCTTCCAGGACTCCTTCAAGAAGCAGAGGAATGCTCTAGACCATTTATGCTGAAGTCTCATACCTGCATCAAACCTGAAGCTTTAAAAAGTTCCTGTGGAGATCTGGTCCCAGAAATATTTGGAGAACGCAGTGACAATATTCGACTATATACTTTGTTTCGTACCTGTTGAAAACAGCATTAATAAAAAAAAATTATTCTGGAGATTGAAGCTGACAAGTAAACAACTTCTCTGCTAATTAAGATGTCAAATAAAAGGAACACATTTACACTTTTAAACACTTCTATCTCTTGCTGCATAAAGTGTTTAGACATGGATGGACATGACATCCTTCAGTTACAGGATATAAAGGCAAGATATATTATGAATTGATTTGTGTGTGTGTAGATGCTACAGAAAATCGTTATTGCCACAGAAGTCCTCTAGGAAATACTGCTGCTGTTCACATAAAATTACACCAATATTTTCCCTAAAAACTACTGCAAAGATTTATTTACTTGGAAAAAAAAAAAACCAAACACGCAACATTTTATAGGAGCTATTCATAAACTGACATACTAGTATGTAACTCACCCTAAATTCTGATATTTATGCTAGTCCCACATACAACGGATCACTGACATTATCCGGGGTGGGGGGAGTGGAGGGGGAGTGGGGATAGAATTCACTAATCCTAAACCATGAAATATAGAAAGTCTACTTTACTTTGTAATTAATTTGCTCAGAATATTTAAAAAGATGTGTGGGCTTCAAGATATTTAGATTACTACTGATGTAATTTTAGTTGAATAATTGTCCTGTATCATAACAGAGAGAGACAGGAAAAAGAAGAATCTTGTTTTATCCATCTTTTCACAATTAATCAGTTTCTAGATACCAGACTGAGGTTTTCACAGACTGCAGTCTACTTTCCCATAATGGTTATATCTAGCAAACCTTTTACTACTAGTGTTACAGTATTACGAAAGACGCCAGGCTCAGGTTAGACGCAATCAGTGAACTAAACACTTGTGCTAATTTCATGAATCAAGGAAATTTGGGAAATCCATACCTCCTTATTGAAGTTGAGGAAATAGTTGGTTTGATCTGTAAGGAAGATCTCCAAAGCTGACCTCCTCAGGTTGTACCGACGCAAATGTATCTCTCGAATTTGAGAAAGGTGCCATTTGAAATCAAAACCTACCCCTAGGGAGAGCGCTTTGATTATTGACTTGGAATATATAAAAAACTTCATATAGATGTAATGCAGTATCATTTCCAATCACCCCAGAGTTATTCCTAGGAAAGGCAAACTTTTTATGTGGCTTGATTAAACATTTTGCTAGGAAAATATAATTAACTTCAGCTATTGTTCTGCTGAAAGAAAGAGGCAGCAGGAAACATCTGATGGAGTGTAGAATTTGGTTTTGCTTTTTGATCAAGAACATATTATAAACGTATTCTGCTGACAAAAAATATGAACCAAACCCCTTTGCTTTCTTAAAAGCTTCTATTTGAGCCTGTTTATGTTTAGAATTCCCAAAGGCCAACTTCTTGATATACTGTTTTTCAAAATTTTACCATTATTCGTCAAACATTTCAGTTCACTGTTTTCATACTCAACTGTGTATATTTTATTGAAGTTCACTAAATTAATATAGATGATTAATGTTTACATACTACTACTTTTTAATCATTACTTACTAATACTTTTTAATCAATGTACGAGTGAAATGTTATTTGTCAGGGAGGTGCCATTTCAGCAGCAAATTAGAGGTAATGACTTTTTTTTAGTCAGCAAACTTAATTAATTTTTTAGCAAGTTCATTTTTTTAAGAAATACTAAGAACAGTGAATCAATGTAACAGCTCAGCAAGTACAGTTCCTGATTCTTGATTCTGAAGGGATCAGCGAGCCACTGACCACAAAGTACAATATTAATTTTAAGTAAAGATCTGCAACTTGTCTCTTCACAATTAGTTTGACAGTCATTCTCAAAAAAAAAAAAAAAAAAAAAAAAAAAAAAAAAAACTCAGTTTACTGAAAACAGAATGCTGAACTGCACCGAAAAGAAAGAGATACTGATCATGCTCACCTTCCTCTTTTTCAATGCTGCCATCAAAGAAATAGATGTGCTGGGTAGTGATCTCCAGCCTGCCAGGTATCACATCAATTACTGTAATAAGTTCACAATCTTCAGACAATATTAGCTTTTCTTTCTGGCTTTGCTCATCCTTCTCATCCCTACAAAAATACCACTAAGTGTTATGGGGTTGGGTAGATTATACAGTTGCTTAGGTTCTTGATAAGAGTATAGTTCAGAAAAAGGAATCAAATCTGAATGGCATTAAAAGCACAACATAAATGATTATATGAAGCTACTTCCATCAGCAGTCTTGGATGTTTCAGACTAGACTCCCAAACATCATTTCATAGCATCACTCTTCAGGCTTAATATTTCAGTCTCTGGCACAATGGACTTGACCTCACTTGAAGTATAAAAACATGATGCTGCACTCCCCTTTCTTACTTAATTGCTAGGTGCTTAAATTCTCTGGCCCAGAGCAGAGCTGAGTCCTGGTTCACGTCACTAAATTTATCTTCAGAAGTATTTGAAGTAATGGTTGCTCAGAAGTTGATAGATATGACACATCATAATCAAGCATTTAATAACCTTCAAGGTACAAGAAAATGCATCAGTATCACTCAAAGAAGTGCCACATCTCTAGTGCACTTCAACAGCACGGACACGCATAGGTGCACGCAGAACATCTCATGTCCAGTTAATAGAGTGAAGCATTTGCTATCTCCCCCTGTCCTGCCACTCCCACTTTTTTTTTTTTTTTTTAAAGTCATACAAGAGACATGGAAAAAGCACAGCAGGCCTTCTCTCTGGAATGCTCTCAAACCCAGGGGACTCTCTAGCAGATTAATGCCAACCAAGCAAACATCCGTGCTATGCAGCTGATGGTATAGGGAATTGCCCTGGCACCTATGGACAAGAGCCAGTTCCAGTCTGGCCTATGCCCTTACAGGGCAGACTGCCTCTTGAGAATTATAGCCAATGTATGTAGTAGAAAAGCCTCAACAATTCTGTAGCTTCAGCTTCAGACCAACTGTGAGCAGTGAAACACTAATGAATCCTCACAAACATCTGCTCTGCCTTCTTTTCCCTAGGGGTCTTTACGTCTCTTTGTTGACAATGATAAATGCAACAGCAACTTTTCTGCTGTTCAGAACTACTACAAAGCCCCGGATTGGATTGTTAAGGCCAGACAAAGAAAGAAGGAAGCTTTGTATTCTAATCAACTCCTGAAGTTGTTTTATCACTCCTTATTCCTAGCACAGAAACAAATTTCAACTGTTCTATTCTGTTGTACTTACAAGTTGGAACTGGCTGCTGTGTCTTCTTCTGGTAGTTCTAGAACATCATCTTCCAAGTCACTCACTTTCACCTGCTTCACCACCTCCAGAAGCAGAGACTCACTAGAGGGCTGCGTCTGGTGCACACCTATCATAAATAGAGATTTCAGCTCAGAAAATTTTTTGCTACAACACTTTTGGGAAGCTAAACTACTGAGTGCATCTCCTACTGTTGAATGTTGGTTTTAACTGAGTAATACGCAACCAGACTTCTTAAATACTTTTGGAGGCAAGCACAAGACTAATAATACTCCCTGAACTACACTGAAATACATGTCAAATCATAACAGTATAAAGGGAAGACATAAACACTTTAGAAAATTTTATACTGAATTCTGATGTGGACGCTTCCAATAAAATATTTTGCAGTGTTCTGCCGAGACACTGTTAAAGTGATTCCAGATTTCATGGAAATACACTGCATTTGGTTTTTTGCTTACTTGGGTTTATAGGAGTGTTATTTTTTTGGTTTGAGTCTTGATATCCAGTACACCTAATTTAAAAAACAGTTTATACCACCAACTCAGCTGTTTGGCACACTTCTGAAAGACAGTGCTTCATATCTACATATTTTAACCATAAGCTCTAACAAGTTTTAAACAAATACTCTCTGCTTACTCTGATCTCATTGTTTCCTTTTCTTGAAAAAATAATCTTACGGAAGAAAGCTATGTGACTGCCTATTTTAAAACAAAGGAGTTCTTTTTTTTTTTTTTTTTTTTTTTTTCAAAAAAAATACACATTTCAATGAAGAAAGGCAAATGTATTCTACTCAGTAGGAAGATGCTGTTTCAGGTCAAAGCACCACTCATGTTATACATTTTACTATAGCGGAAATGAAAAATCAAGATTTAAGTATCTATCATACACTGATTCTTCAATACAAAGAGTACAGTGTGTATCTTTCTTCACTAAAGACTGAAGAATCCCAAGTGAAATACAAATACAAATTCACCTAAATTATCTCTCAGGTCACTAGCATCCTGATGAGAGTTGAAGTTGTAATTCTGCACTAGTTTTAGTCTCATACGTGAAAAATTTTCCACATTTGAAAGTTTCCAGTGAATAGGATGCTGTTTCCTAGGAAAACAAGAATATTCATAAAAACAGTCAAAAGAAGGTAAAGACCTACGTGAATGAACTGGTTACAAAAGAGCACATATTTAGAAAAATACTGGTCATCCACCTGAACATTTTAAAGCATAAAAGCAATAAACTGGATTTTCATTCTAAATTTCATATTGCAGCTCTAATCATCCTAAACCACTTTGTAAACATTATTTATTTTCTACTGAAATACATCAAATTGTTTACACTTTCAGTTAATGACAATTAAAAGACCAAAAAAATAAAAAAACCTTCATCCAGAACTTCCCCAAAAGCTGAGAGGCAAAATGTATTCTTTTAAATTGAAATCAGCTTCATGCATAAAAACTCAATGTCTTTACTGACAAGTCTATTCTATTCTCTCTTTTCCAACAGAACCAATCCATAGGATCTTGCAAAAAGCTTTTGCAATCACTTCATTGATAACTAATTTTTATTTGTCACTTGGCAAGAAAATCTAATATCCAGGTAACCAGCTCAGCATTATACTTCAAACTCTGCATTTTGATAATTAAATGCAGAAAACATTACAAAAGATGCACTCAATATTAACTTCACATCTCAAGAACAGTTACCAGAGTCAATTTGACAAGGTTCTAACCATGTGAAACAGTCAGTCATGTGAGCAAATTCCTTTTAAGTATCATATACGGTTTGATTTAAAAACTTCACTCTTACATTTCAGACCAAGGACCACGTTCAGAGAGCAAGTAAAGCTGGGCTGCTTTCCACTGTCTCAGGGTAGCTGTGTGTTGACTATTAAGTTGCTTTAGCATACTGTTGTACCGCAGATTTTCTTGCCGAGCCTTTCTGCTGAATGGTTCCACAAAATGCTCCTGAAAGAACATTAAAAAAAAAATCTAGCACTAATATAACTCTGACCTTTGAAAACACAGTTTTGTAGCTTGCAAGAATTCTCATAAATTAAGAAGGAACAAAAAAAGTTTAGCAGTAAAAACTTCTGAAAATTTAAGGTAATGCTTATAAGAGAATTTTTTAAAAGCTCAGTACTGGAAGAAATGGCGCCAAACTTCACCTTAAAGATGTGAAGAAAGCATTATCAGTGCTGAATCCATATGAAAGCAATTTTTCATCATCAGAAAAGTAGTCAGCAATGGAAATCCCATTATAATAGGTAGGATTTTTCTTTAGATTCTGGTATTCTATAATGTGACTTATTGTATTCTTCCTTTAGCTACTTGAATAAAAAAGACTTACTACAAGGATCCTTATTCAGAAGACAAAGGGAAAACAAGAGAAATGTAACTTAGCTATATTTGCTGCGATTACCAGTTAATTCTAACGCTTAAACTGAGTCTGGACCTTAAACAGAAAGGTCAGTTCAGAAACAATTTCTCCACACATTAAATAGGAACTGTTCACTGTTTCAAATATTTTCACTATATTGAAGTAGGGTTAAAAAAACCTATCAAACAAAAATCAAACCACACTGACTCATTTCATAATGGAGAAGAGGTTTTAATAATTCAAAACATAAATCAGAGTAAAAGAAAAAGCAGCTTATAGCTGAGCATAACCCTAGGTTGCTGTATTATGAGGAAGGCCTACTGTCCTGAAATAACTGTTTACAGATAAACTCTTAAATAGAAAGAATAGAATTAAAAAGCATATCCTACAAGTGTATATAGTCACACCACCCATAAAACATTAAAACAATCAACCTGCCTGCAAGCACTTGAATTGGATCATCCTGGATTTCAGTTTCTCCATCTTTTAGAAGGCAACTCTTGAGATAGCTCTTCTAAGAGAAACTTGCACTCACTCAAAACCTTACCTGAAATTTAAGCTTACTTTCTCCTCTCTCCCGGTCTCGCCTATGCATGTTCACCATAAATGCTTCATAACAATCTTTCCAATAAAGTGCCATCTGCTCATGATCATGTCTGAATGAATTCTCTTCATATTGCTTCATATTTGGAATAATCTGGTTCCACCAAAACAAAAAGCACAATGTCATTTCTGAATGAGTTCCTCTGCTTTCACGGCTAAAAAGAGAAGGAAAATTATACAAGAAGAATCTACTACTTACATATTTGTCAATATAAATTTGCCACTCATCAGAGCTGCAGTATTCTTGAAAGTCCTCAAAGAAAGATGGGCTGCCATTGGTGGGAGGCAATGAAGGGAGATGCAGGTTCATGAAGAGAAGTTCATAAATCTTGGATACCAATGTCCGAACAAGGGGAATCAAAAATGAGTAAGTTTCTGTCTTCTCTTCAATTGATTTACTCAAGATGCCTTCCAGCTTCCCCAAGAGGTAGCATGCTTCAGGCTGGCTCTCAATTACTTTGGTCTGAAGGAGTGTGTTTAGTTTGGCTGCTGCCATAGCACAGACCTACACAAACAACAAAAAATTAATGCAATCCTCAAAATAGTAATTTTGAGCACCTATCTTTTTAGCACAGGAGTATGTACATATTCTGGCTGCATCCAAGGTAGCCTGAAGGCACACAGCATCAAACATGGGCACTAATCACTTATCCTGTGATGACCAAACCTGAGGTCAGCTACAACCCCAAAGTCAAACAGCTGCATTAAGACAATCACATACCTATACTAAGGATCCTGGCTTTACTGAAGGGCTCATATTCCAGGCACAGCTCTGCTAACTTTGTTCCAGATGTTGATTTGCAGCACAGTCCAGGTTCATGTGCACTTAATGTATGTAAACCTGAAACTGCTAATAAGTGTATTTTATGGTAGAAACGAAAAATCATTATCAGAATCACTATCTTACTGCCACTAGTGCCTACATAGTCCCATCTTCAAACAGCTTGCCCTCTACCTCTTTCTCATGCTCAGAAGGTGCACATTGGTAGGACTCTAAAGTAAATTTGCAAATTGTAAGAACCAATAAAACATCTTCCCTATAGAAGGATGAAGGACTGCCATCAGTCTGCTCACTGGTTTGAGCAGCTCCCCTGTAAACCACAACAGTTACATCGAACATACACTTAAAACACAGTACCACTTGCAGGAATTTGGAACAAACCTGTAAGTTATCTTGTGCAATGAATCCAAGGAGCAACTGGACTTGCACCTGTGAAAGCCTGATTGCTTCTAGGCCAGCAGAGTACCAGACTGACAGGCTATCCATCAGAGTCACTAGCTCTTCCAAGAGCTATTGTAAAAACAGAAGATTTGCATGAAATAAAATTAACAACAGTTACTGCAGCTGGAGACACAATAATTTCAAAGAGCTGAAGAGGTGGCTGAGTTCACACTTCTAACTTACCCAAACCCAGAAAATTATCCCAGAACACTGCAGTTAAACCAGTAATTTGAAACAATTCCTGACAAAAAAAAAAAAAAAAAAATCTATCTAGCCCAGTATGTTGACTCACATATCTCCCCTGAATAAAGGCCAAACCAGCATATAGTATATATGCTTATGTTTTTCCTGAAATTTAACTCCCATAAATGCCACTTCCTTAGAAAAGTTAGAGACTCCACGAGCAAGATTACTATGATTGAAAAGACACTATTATTAATAGCACAGATACCAAACCAACTCGCAATTTCTGGGTTCAGTATATATACAATTTTATTTCATTCTTTTCCTTTGTATTTTAAATTATTTAAGTGTAACACTAGTATAATTTACCAGCAACAGCAATATGCACAGTGCCCTGAGAAGGAAAACAAGGCTTCTTTCATGAATATCTGATTTAGTGAAATGCTTGAAACTTCCTAACAACTATTAATGTCTTTTAAAAAATAAATTAAAAAAATAAATAATTAGGAGGTACTCCTTTCTGTCAGTATTCTGATACTAGCAGTGATACAAACCTTGTGAAAGGTAGGTATTCAGAAGGCAAATGGCACATTTCACTATCCAGACATGTTTGCTTAAAACTAATATACCTTGACACATTCCCTAATAAATTACTCAAATATAAAATCATTTTTTTGTTAAGCTCCAGAATCACATGAATGCTTCTGTGGCAGACTGAAAGCTGTCCTGCCTAGAATATTACGGTGCTTTAAATTCTCCCCAGGCACAGTGGAAAATAATTTATGAAAGTATGGTTATGTTGAATTCAGAGTTGGCAATAAGCACAACTCTCACTGTTCCAAAGTTCAGATCTCATTTCTAATTAGATTTCACAAAAGCTAGATCACAACAGACGGCAAAGCTTTTACCAAGAGGAGACTTTAAAAACAAACAGTTAAAAGCTTTAAGATTAAGCTATGTTTACTTACAAGCAGGCATTTTGGAGAACAGCTTAGGAATTACCATGTTGATGACTCTTAACATTACACTTCCCCCCCCCCCCCCCCCCCCCCCACCCAGC